TTGAATCCCTGATTTAAAACACTTATCAGTAGACTGCATATTGATATGAAGCATGGACTCAAGCTAAGGATGGTCTCCCCTTTATCCCATGTGTAGCCACACATGCATACTTTCTTTTCATAATCCCATGAAATATACATCGAGAGACTCGACATTAAACCCTAAAACAAGCCTACATAAATGCAAAATAATCACAAGAAAATTAAGAAATTCACAAATATGTGGAATTTAAACACTACATTCCTAAATAACCAATATGCCAAATAAGACACAAGAGAAACATAAAATACATCAAAATGAATGAAAATGAAGACAACATACCAAAATATGAGATACAGTTAAGCAATGCTTACCAGATATATATTTCTGCTAATTCCTACAATATAAAAGATCACAAAATATATAACCCTAACTTTATACCTTACACAGCAAAAAAAGCAAACTAAGCCCAAAGCAATTGAATGGAATTAACAGTTAGAAAAGTGAATAAAATAAATAAGAGAAAATCCATGAAATTGGCACACTAAGCTAAAAAAAATTTCAAATTAACAGAATCAGAAACAAAAGAGGAAACATGACTACTGGATGTACAGAAGTTAAAAAGGATTATAAAGAAGTACTATGAACATCTTTATGCCAATAAATCAGATAACATATGAAACGGGGAAATTTTAATGATACAATCTGCTGAAGTAATGGTATAGCTGTTAGGAAGGTGGAGAAGGAAGCAAGGTGGAAGAACAGAGACATTACCTTTTTGAAAGTTGAAAATATTTTCTAAAGTGAATAGAATAAGAAAATGAAATCTAAATGTTAAAGTTATACAGGCTATGGAAAATCTAAAAATAAAGCTAAGAAAAATTTAGGAAAGTAATGTTTCAATGATGAAAATTTTCAATACCTTTGAAGATAGTATACATGAGTAATAAAGGTACATCACAACAAAGAAGACCCGAAGTCAGAAGTGGCTAGATTGTAAGGTTGGAAATGGGAATGGGAGAGCAGGAAATGAGATTTGCCTTTCTTCTGTGACCTTTGTGATCTGTCTTTATAGATTTATTATTAAAGTTTTTAAGTAGAGAATTTAAATATCTCCACGTTTAGAGGAAAAGAAAAGCATCATGAACAGAAGTTGCTAATCTCAGAAGAGAATGCAAACTCCATTTGATGGGGTTTTAACCAGTATATACATGTCTGAATGTCAGGTACTTTTTCCTTTGTTTTGCAGTGCTGAGAGTGAATCCAGGTCCTTGAACATGTGCACATTCTTGGCAAGAGCTCTACCTCTAAGTACAACTCTAGCCCTTGAGTGTAATGTAGAAGTTCTTCAGATTTTTTTTTACAGATTTTGGAATGTGTGTGAATGTGTGTGTGTGTGTGTGTGTGAAGTGGGACCCAATTCTACAAAAATTCATTTTTATTTCATACATACCTTTGTACATATAGCCTGAAGGTAATTTTATACAGTATTTTAGTTCGCCTGTTTCAACTATCACACAGTACTAGGTAGACTATTTTTCATTTGTGGTATCATGTCAGTGCTGTTTCAGATTTTAGAGCATACTGGATTAGAGGATATTTGGGGTTCCCAAAATTCATTTCTAATATTGTATTCCCAGAAGGAATTTACAACTTCATCTCAAAAAAATCCATATATATTCATATATTTCTTTTTCTTAGACATCACATATATAAATCAGAAACCATTATACAAGGCTGACTTATATGATATTTATGGTGATTTTAAATCTCTCTGGAATCCTTTTTGGGGGTTAATTTAAATATTTAGCTCCTTAGCCAACAAACATTCTGAAACATAACAAAAGAATGGTTGTTTTACATCAAATATATAACCAGGGCTTTAACTATCAAAAGTACCTCACTTGTGAACAATGTGAGAGACTGATGATCCTTGCTTTGTGAAGTTTTACTTTCAGTTTGGAAAGTTTTACAAATTTAAAGTAATATATTCATTTCCTTATTCTTTCTAGAAGCTTAATTTAAAAAAAAAAAGGTTGGTGCTGGATACTATGAAGGAAGGAGAGTGGCTGGGAGAACAGGAAAAGTAAATCCTTATAGCAAACATCGGTACAACCAAGAGAAATGATGAATGTTATCACTTAATGATATAAAAACAATATTTTAATATAAACTGGTGGTGATAAATTTTAGGTATAGCAAATGTGAGGAAAAAAATCAAAATTTTCTTGTTTCATTAAATCCACTCATAGTATAGTAATACCAGTTTTTAAATTCAGAAATCTAAATACAAACATTCAGAGTTAACTATAAAAAATAATATACACCTTGTTTTTTTTAAAAAAAGGGGCATTTCCCCTAAAGTAGTTAGCCAAAATCAAGAGCAAAATTACATGATTAAAACTGGCTGAAATTGCATACATCAGGGAAAAAAAAACAACCTTCTCTCCCCTCATAAAAATTATTCAAAACACACTGCCATTCCAATGAACAAATGTATAAAAATCCAATTTATACAAAAGCATAAACATTGCTTCACTTTATTCTTCATCATCTTTCCTTTCTAGCACTCATTAGCTCCTACAGCATCTACTTTGTTGGGCCAAATTAAGAAATCTAAAAAGTGCTGGGCGCAGTGGTGCACACCTGTAATCCCAGTGGCTTGGAAGGCTGAGACAGGAGGATCTCAAGTTCAAACCCAGCCTCAGCAACTTAGTGAGACTTTGTCTCAAAATAAAAAGGGCTCAGAATGTGGCTCACTGTTTAAGCACCCCTGGGTTCACTACTTTGTACCAAAAAAAGAAAAGTGGAAAAAAGTAAGACTTTGTATGAATAGTCACTGGTTATTGATGCTGAGTTATTGTTTATAAAAACTTATATATGGACGCCATGTGGTATATGGCATCCAGTCTTCCACATGTACTTACATTTATTAAGAAAGGCTAGGAAATAAGATTATTATATTATTTAAGGTATTAACAATGACCTTCTTTTACAAATAAAACCTGATTTATAAAGTGGCTTGTTCCAGTTATTTTCATTGTTCTACACCTTTTTTTCCATTATAAACTATAAGTACTTGAGAAATTACAAAACACCTAACTTCCCAATAAATTTTGGAAGGTTTAATTTAAATGAATATAAAATAATTTATGAATTTAAATGGTAAGAGCTCAGGAGAAAGTTTCCTGCAGATTAATTACAAATGTTTTTATGTTACATTTATCCTGTAGATTTTACATAACTCATTTCTCTATTTCTCTTATTCTATAAAATTCACACTGACTCCCTGAGCTCATATGAAGCACAGAACAATGACTTACAATTTTCATTCTCCTAAGGATGGTATCTAATTAGTACTATTCTAGATGCCACAGAAATTAGGGCTCAATTCTCTCCTAGAAATCTACTTGAGAAAGACTGATAAAGCACTAGCATACCTTGTCCTCTTTCCTCTTACCTCTAAACTACTCTGGCCTCAAATCCATGGAAGCTATTTTAGTAATGGCAGACTTTGTCCTATATTCAAATCCATAGGGAAAAGTTTGCAAATATCCATTTTTATACATTGAAACCTTATTTCCTCTGAAACTATATTTTAACCTTTAGTTCCTATCTTTGTCAAATTCAGTATGTAAACAAGTTATTTTTGTGACATTTTACTTATTTTCCATTCATAATAAAAAAAAAATCTCCAAAGTTACTGAACCTGGGGGCACATACATACCTATAATCCCACCAATTCAGGAGGCTGAGGCAGGAATATCATAAGTTTAATGCCAGCCTGGGCAACTTAGTAAGATACTGCCTCAACAATAAAAAATAAAAACGGCTGAGGATATAGCTCAGTGGTTGAGTGCCTTTGGGTTCAATCACCAGTGAAGCAACCAAAACCAAAACCAAAGCTAAAATCAATCTTCAAACTCTGGAAACCTAGAGTCTACAATTCTTAAGGATTTTGAATAATATATAAAGTACATATAAATTCTGACTTAGCCTATGTCTTTGAACTGATCTTGAAAGATGAATTATTCTGCCCAAAGAGGTGGTGATTTTGAAATTGTTTGCATGACCTGCCTAATAAAATAAAGAAATATTAAGTAACAATAATTCCCAACTACAGTGAGGTTTCTGTGATATTGCTTGCTAGAAACTTTCAAGGTACATTTTATTGAGCCATAGCACATAATTTAAGAAACTCTTATTTCACATAAAATGGATCTTTTTCATTATACTGCAACATAATTTGAGACTGAAGATTACTTTCCTTGCTAACACAGAGGAGCAATTGTTTAGCTTCTATAGCTTATGTAGCTTTTTCTCTTAAGATGAGTGACAATTCTAAAACAAGAACATCTGAAGCAGCTGAAAAAAAAAACATCTTAACGTAATAATACATGTGAACTTTAGTCACACCGCACTATGCTATAAACCATGAGTTGGCAAATTTTATCCATAAAGGGCCAGACAGTACATAGGATTTCCACACTACAGTCTTGGTAGCAACCATTAACTTTGTCATGGTAGCACAAAAAAAGTCATACATAATAAGGAGATGAACATGGGTGTGTTGCAATAAAACTGTGGACATTAAATTTCATATTAATTCACATTCATAGTCTTCTTTTTTAAAAAACATTTAAAATATAAATAAAATTATTAATTCACAGACCATGAAAAGCAGGTAGGGGACTAGATTTGAATCATATACCATAGTTGGCTATCTTTTATAAAAATCTTTATATTTATGCAAAATGCTTCAAATTCCTGACATTGGAGACTTGAATTTTTTAGATTTCTTATTTAAAAATCTGACCACAGACAAGTTTGTGAGTGTGTATATGTGTGAATAAATATATTAACATGAAAGAGAAAAAATAATTCAGAAAAAATAAAATTCCCTACTTAAAGAAACAAAAACTGTAAAATCAATGTTTCATTTTAAAATACATAATCCACAAACATATAAAATGAAAAATTATAATTTTTATTCTATGCGATATAAAATAATATGCATAGATTTGAGACATAATTTCTTAGTTTTTACTTTAGGTAAAAGAAACACAATGAAAAAAAGGTTTATAAATCTCTCAGTCCCTTTATAAAAATTTACTGTTGAAACCAACTGTTACTTACATGTACAACCACCAACTCTGAATAAAATATGAATTATAGCTAGGAATTGGAATTTACCTAGAAGAGCTCTAGCTGCTTTTTAAAAAATGCATAATTACTTCATAGAACACTGTGTCATCTATAATATGAAAAGAAACTCCTGCTTCCATATAAGGAAACAATACTTTTTCCATAATTGTCTTCCAGTATTAAAAAACTTCATAGACTGATTTACCTTTATTAAAGGTAAAATGATGCACTGCTACATTTGTATGGATTATCTTGATTCTCAGTAGTTCTTAAACACAAAATAAAATTTTGCGTGAACTTTCATCTGTTTAGGTTTTCAAAAATACTAATACAAAATGTATTCAACTAGCAGAAGTCCATGGGCTAAAGAAAAAGGAATTGAATATAAAATGTTCACCAACTTTATCCTTTCTAGTTTTACACAGCTTCAGGTTATTGAGACCTAATTGGTTGGTTGTGCCTAATCACCACAAACATAGCCCCATCTTTTATCTTAATACTCCCCAATGCCATCTTTTGTTTGGTTCTTCATTTTGCGACGTATAAGATCACTTCGTCCAACTTCAATCATTTGTTCTTCCCAAGATTTCATTTCGTTATCATAACGAATTTTATCATCTTTAGCAAGTTGAATATATACCTGAAAAAAAGGAAAATTGTTAAAATAATTTATTTAAAAATGAGCTATTAATTTCTGGACTATTTCCATATATACATAGAAATTGAACTGGGCACAGAGCCTATAATCCCAGAGACTTGGGAGTCTGAGGCAGGAGGACTGCAAATTCAAGCCCAGCATCAGCAACTTAGCAAGGCCCAAAGCAACTTAATGAGACTCAATCCTCAGCTACACCCGCCTCACCCCACCCCTGAAAAGAAAGAAATTCTTTCACTATTCTATATGTAAAAAGGGGAAATGCAGAAGGAATGTTTTCATGAGATGTTAGATGAGAAAAAGGTTGAGAAAACTTTTACAAGTGTTAATGAAGTTACTAAAATTTTGGGGATTGAGGTATGAAAGGTGGTAAAAGCAGGGTAGGACAACCATTGATTAATAGTGGATAATCTTAAGATTACAAGTAACCCTGTTTCAAATACCAATTGTATTTGTAGTCAAAAACTACCAAGAAAAAAAGCTAAATTTAGTTTAATAATATGAAAATAAGTTTAAAATACTATTATTAGCAATATTGGGCTGCTTTTATGTGAATGAAGTCTTGACCTAATATATGCTCTCACAGATATTCTAATTAGACCCTGGAGACTAAAAACCATAATACTTACTTGCTTTTGAGAACTAGGCAGGTTTTTCCAAGTTTCATTTACATATTTCAGCTTTGCCTAAAAAACAATATATATTTAAATAGCAAAATATGGAGACACTTCAGTGACGAAAGAAAAATCTATTCATTCCAACAACAAAAACTCAGGTATCAATAATTATAGACAAAGCTATACCAGTTAACTTTTGTTTCTAAACAAAAACTAACAACTATTAAAATTTTCAAAAATGAATGGAATGAGGGTACTGTCTTTTTTTATTCAAAAATATTAATATCCAGGTATAACCTACATCTGTCATGGGCTAACTTTAAAGACTTGTTTTTATTTCTTCCCAGTAGATTTATGTTTTATTCTAAAATTTGTGCCTATATGGTTAGGTATAGTCACAGGAAGAATACAAGTACTTAGCTGAACTTAATTATGTGATCTAGAAAAAGTAATTTTACTTCCCTTAGCCTTGGTTCTCCATCTATAAAAATTAAAGGAATAGAAAGACACTTACTTTTGTTCCCTCCTGCAACCCATTAAACTAAATTTTTAAACATAAAAATTTATGAACAAAATTTACAAAAGTTGACAAATGCAAAATTTTGGAAACTGAAAAGCAGATGGAGAAGTGCTAACTGGCTTAACTGACCCAAGAAACTTGGCTGCTAAGGGCAATGGGAAAAACCTACACCCAACCTGATTTATTTATTTATTTTTTTTAGAGAGAAAGAGAGAGGGAGGGAGGGAGAGAGAGGGAGAGAGAGGGAGAGAGAGAGAGAGAGAGAGAGAATTTTTTTTTAAATATTTATTTATTTTTTTTTAGTTCTCGGCATACACAACATCTTTGTATGTGGTGCTGAGGATCGAACCCGGTCCGCACGCATGCCAGGCGAGCACGCTACCGCTTGAGCCACATCCCCAGCCCCCCAACCTGATTTATAATGCAGAATTCCAAACAATTTGACAATTTGAGGACTGATTGAAACACTGTTTAAAAAGAGGCTAAATCCTCACATCATGGCAGAATCTAGGGTATTCATTCTCAAGAGTAAAATACAGTTACTCTGTGAAAACAAGGTATAGTTAAAAACAATAGCACCATGCAAAAACCAGAGATTGAACAGGTGATGTAGCTCAGTAGAAAAGTGCTTTTCTAGCATGTGAGATCCTAGGTTTAATACCCTGCACCCATAAAACATACAAATACACATTTAAAAAGAGAAAGATAGATTAAGTGAAAATGTATACAGTAACAGTATCCCAAGAGGGACAAAAAGAAAAAAAAAAAAAAAAGGCTAAAGGAAAACACAGTATAGATTCTCTGTTTTCTTAACAGAGAATCAATTCAGAAGAAATTAAAAAAACAAATGTTAGGGAGAGTCAGAACAAAGAAAAAGGGAGAAAAAAGAAGGCAGATCATACTCCAAGGACCAACAATCAAAATGGTTTTACATTTCTTAAAAGCAATACAACAAAATAGAAAAGAAAGGAGCAATACTTCTGAAAAATTTGAAGGATTGTGATTCACAAACAGAAATCCATGCCCAATCTAACATACATATATGAGGACAATGATATTTTTTACACATGTAAAACTTGAAAAATTAATCTCTCATGCACCCTTACTGGGGAAAATGTTATACTTGAAGCAGAATAAATTAAGAAGACAACAATAGAAACAAATGCACCACAAGGATGATGATAATAAAGGAAGAGCCCAGGATGTTAGCTGTATGAGTCATAGAAAACAACATTCGAACTGAAATAAACCAGAGGCTTCAGACTAAAACTGACTAAGTGTACTGAAAGCTAGTGAACACTGAAGTGTTTGGGGGCTGAATTATTGACAATTACCCCTCAAAATATGCAAACAAAACTGAAAGAGAGGAAAAGAAAAGATATAATCAAGTAACTTAAGGGGAAATAAGTTTTGCAAGAAAGAAGAAATAATTTTAGCATATGGTACAGCTGAGCTGTGACTAGGACTCACATAATGATATAAATACACTTAATACTTGACTATATTACTATATTGGGAGGTGGAGAAAATGGAAATATGTGAAGAGTGGAATCAGATTTAAGTGTTTATCTGAGATAATGGAAGTAATGCTTAAAGTATAAGATAAATACTGTTTATAACTGAAAAAATTCAAGAACCTATGATAGATATTAAGGATGTATTTTTTTTTTTTAATTCACATGACCAGGATCATCCCTGGACTGTTAAGATTGAATAGACCAATCCTTCTGTTTTTATTAAGTATTCCACATATTTTTTTTTAAAGAGAGAGAGAGAGAATTTTTTTTAATGTTTAGTTTTCGGCGGACACAACATCTGTTTGTAAGTGGTGCTGAGGATCGAACCTGCGCCGCACGCATGCCACGCGAGCATGCTACCGCTTGAGCCACATCCCCAGCTGGATATTAAGGATGTTATTGAGAGATATGGAGTTAAGGATCAGCTAAAACAGTGGAATGTTCTTGTGGAGTAAAGAATGTAAAAGGGCAGTGAAAACTGCTTTTTCATATCAAACCTAAAAGAATATTTTGACTCTATGAGGATATATAACCAATATTTTTTAAATAAATAAAAATGATATAGTCAAGTTATATTTCAATTTCCAGGGATAAGGCCCAGGAATTAATTTTCCTAGGTGAGACCAAGGCATAGTCAGAATTGAGAAGCACTAATTTGGAAGGACTGTCCAGCATAGAATTGTCCAGTATAGAAAAGATAATAAAATTACAGAACAAGTTCAGAAGATCTATATTCAAAAAAATAAGTGTTATGGAGACAGAGATATTGATAAGAAAACTATGGAGATACTGATAAGAAAACCAAACCCAAGGTAGGTTAATGACTGAGCCAAGTTCCAATTAAAAAAATAGATAAGCTAGTATTTCAGTCATGTAGAGCCATAGAAATTCAATTTAAAATCCCAAAGGAAATAATTAAGTCAAAGTATACAGCCAGGAAAGACTGAGCAACATATATACATTATTTAAGCATATGATAAACATAGGTAGAGTACCAAAACTTTCATTTCCAATGGACAAGGATTATGGATCTTAACATTAACTTTTTATAATGCCATATTATATAAGGAAAAATACAATTGCCCCTTTGGAGCTCCTAAGAAGGAAAAAATGAAAAGACTAAGCCCCAGCAGTGACTGACAAGCTGTTTTTTTGACACATTCATATGATGACATTCGCATGTATAACACATTCCTATGGGCATAACCAAAATTTTATTAAAGGATGTAACATGAAGCAATAGGTTATACTTAATTCCAAGAATAAAACATTATAGCTCTACTCTCATTCTTTCCAGTGTTCATAAAACAGTTGAGAACCGTTGGGCTAGAAAAGTCTCCACAAGAACATTAACAACTCTATAAATATGAAAATTCTGCTTTTTAAATTTAAAAAGTTGGCAAGGTGTGAATGTATTGGCAACTACATTTTCAGGTTAACTATATGTGGTAAGAAAAAAGATTTTTCTTTTCTTTCTCCCTGTTCCCTACTCCCAAGCACTGGGACTGAACTCAGGGCAATGCATGACAGACAAGCACTCTATTACCACTGAGCTACCCACAGCTTCAAAGATTTTTCTTTAAGAGATCCAGTAAAGAGGACCTTTTCAAAAGAGCTTAACTAAGGGGCTGGAGTTGTACCTCAGTGGTAGAATGCTTGCCTAGCAAGAGTGAGGCACTGGATTAGATCCTCAGCACCACATAAAAATAATAAATAAATAATATTTTATATATATATAAATATATATTATATATATATTTATATATTATATATAATATAATATATATTATATATCTATAAAAGCTTTAATGTGCCCCAGTGGGGGGGGAAAGGAAAAAAAAAAAAAAAAAAAAGGACTGGGTATGTGGCTCAGTGGTAAAGCACCCCTGGGTTCAATCCCTAGTATGGAAAAAAAGTAAAAATAAGAAAAGCTTAATTTCTGTAACTTACTAATTCCCTTTACCACCTGATATGACACCCTTGAATTTCCTAAGTAATTTTTAAATTAAAATAAAAATCTAAGAAAAAAATGCAGTTCAGTTTACCTGTGATGAACCATCCTTAACTTCTTGGAAGCTTTCAGATACAAAAATGTTATAAGCTGAGCGAGGTCTTTTTGGTTTTCCAAGCATTGTTAACTCCTGAATAAAAAATAGAGGGGAGGGTCAGGTATAAGTTTTAACCTCTATAAGACTTAATTTTACTTATAGAAACCATTCATTACTACATATTATAATTAAAATGTCATAGTTTTATATAAAGTATGTGATTATTACATCTTGTCAGAATTTGTTGATGGCACTACATTTTAAAAATTGTAATAGATTTTATGAATTATTTTCCAAACATATTTCCTTTACATTTTATTTTCATGGTCTCTATAGACTGAATAACTGAGCATATAAATATGAAACCTTTTTAAAGGATATAACAATCCCAGTTACATGCATTTCAACTTTTTTTCAAAAGAAGAGTATTTCAGTGATACTCACTCTTTTTTTTATTAAAGCTTTCTTTTTTAAACGTTTTTGCATGATTTCTTTTTCCAAAGATATCATTTGACTTGGAGTTAGCTGTTCCTGAATTCTGTTTATCTCTTCTTTGTATGCTTGCCAGTCTGCCTTATAAGCATCTTCATACATCTATAAGTTAAAAAAAAAAAAACGTCAACAAACTATTGTTGGCAAATTCAACATAGCACATCTGCCAGAGAAAGAAAACTACATGACTTCAGATGAAGACAGACTGAATAGTGGGAGAATAATGTGTTCTGAGATGTCTTTTTCATATACTTGCTAAACAAGGTAAGAGCATATTGCCAATCATTTACCTTCATTCCTATACATCGATACTCTCATCGTTTATGTATATCAGAGGTATAAAGTGCCTTTGTTGATAGTGTTTAAAAAAATGTGGGCCATCTGGTCCTCTAAATAACATGACAATTGTTCCCAGTTGTAGAATAAATGGCCAACAATGTTGAAAACCTATGTGCTTACTTTTTTCTGTGATTCAGGAAGTTCCCTCCAAAGCTCAGCAATTCTTCTAATTAGTTCTGATATTTTCATATCTATGAATTGGAATAAAATGAAATAAGATGTCACAGTTTTATATCTCAGGATTTCTTTCTTTCTTTTGGTATTGGAGATTGAACCCAGGAGCTCACAAGCTACTACTGAGCTATACCTTCAGTCCTTTTGTTTTTGTAATTTTATTTTGAGACAGGGTCTCATTAAATTATCCAAACTGGCCTCAAACTTGCCTTCCTCCTCCCTTAGCCTCCCTAGCACTTGGGATTACAGGCATGAGCCACTATACCTGGTTCTTGGGATAAATTTCTAGACTTCTAGGAAAATAGACTCTTTTAGCACTAAAAATCAACTTATATTTCAGACACATCTATACCATACTTAATAACAAGATTTAACTTTTCTTATCCAACAAATTTAATGTAAATAATCTAAAACTTTATATGACATTAATGTCTGTTCTTTAAAACTAAATAGATTTGGGCTGAGGCTGTAACTCAGTGACAGAGAGCTTGCGTAGCATGTGTGAAGCACTGGGTTCGATTCTTAGCACCACATAAAAATAAACAAATAAAGGCATTCTGTCCATCTACAACTACAAAAAATAAAATAAAACAAAAAACAAAAACCTAAATAAGACTTTAAAAATAAAGAACAGATCAACAAAAACAGTCCTTAAAAACTGACTACTTTCAAGTAGCTGGGTAATCAACTGCTTCAAGTGTTTTACTTTCATTATATTTCAAGTCTTTCAGGAATTACTAAGTTCATAAAACCTGATCAAAACACAAAATATAGTCTTAATTCATATAACACATCTTGTACTTCAATTACATAAATATCATTTGAAAGAAAAGTATTCTAAAATTAATACATGATTCTTCATTTCCATCCTTGTCTTAACTGGAATGATGGGGAGCAACTGAATTAATAACTACCTGTTAGTCTCAAGTCTATAATGTGAACATTTGTTATTATTGTTCTTCTGATTTTCACAGGTGACCTTGTGAGGTACTGAATGTAAAAGGGCTTTAAAAATCATAAGCAAAAATTAGTTATTATTAATTTAGCCTATAACTTTATAAAACCCCAAATGATAGACACTATAGCTTTTCTAAGGAGTTAACAGATCTCCTATTTGGGTATCTTTTTTTCAGGAACTCAGAATTGAAAATATTTTTGAAATTTGCAATAATTTGCATACAGCTTTACAAATTACAGAACAGTTCTATATAAGTTATTTCACTGCAACTGTATGAATACCCTAAAGAAGAATAAGCAGACAACTAAGCAAGAGATAACCTGATGTGTCTGTGACCATGTAAGCCAACCACAACAGGCCCCAAACTGAGTTTTTGCATCCTCTTGTTTGGGTGTTTTCCACACTACAGGTTATTTTAAAAACATTTTCATTAGTTCCCTTTTATATTTAAAGCATTTCTATTTGATATAAAATTACATTTCCTATTTTACAGATCCAATAAAATAATTGTTCCAGTAGTCACTAAATGCTTTGGTAGTACAAATCCAGGTTTGCAATTTAACTCTTAGTGGCCTTTTTATTACATAATAAGAATACAAGCCCCCAAATTCCTTACCTGGGTTCTGAGCTTTAAATATGGGTAGCTGTTCTTTAGAAAATCGAAGGTATGAACTCATAGGTTTCTTAGGATAACTATCCAAGGTGGATGAAAACCACTTCGGAAAATACACGAAACTACACATAAGTAAAAGAAAATAAATAACCATGTCAGGTATTTAATTGCCAATATTCATAGGTACATGAGCACAGATTCCAAATAAGATGTCATCGAGAAGCTATATATCAGACACCTTCAACAACAATGCTACTGACTTCTTTATCTGTTGGGGTTGTTTGTGGTATTCAAGATTAAATCCATGGCCTTGTGCAGACGGGACGAGAGGTGCACCACCAAACTACACCCCTATCCCTAAGAAATGATTAGAAACCCTGCTCTAGACAAGGGGAAGAGCCCTGAGGGCTTAAGTCTGAAAGCTGCTACCTTGTAGAATGGAGAGAGCATCTATACTCCAGCTCCTGGACTCACCTTCCCCCTGCCTAGATGCTGGCGAGAGATTCTGGGGGACAGGTGCTTTATCAGGGGACAGGTGCTTTATCAGAGGACAGGTGCTCTAAGGTTGGCCGACAGGTCAGAGTGGGAGGAGTGGGGGAAGGGGCAGGGAGGGGAGCAGGAAGCAAGGTACGAGGTACTAAAGATATAAGGCTTAGTCGCAAAGCCACAGTAGATTTGGCAAGGTCGAGACTGAATCACAGGGCCAGCTTGGCTCTGGCCTCCAAAGAGAGGCAGAAAGTGGAGGACAGTGTTTAATTTCCAGCCCCGAGACGTTCTGGGCCCCGCCAAGTGCGGGAGCGCGGTCTTACCTGAAGGGTGAGCGCAGACGATTTCCACAGCCGGAGCACAACTCCATTCCAGACTTTCCCAGGTCCCTCAGCACGCCCCACACTCCCCGGAGCAGCGCCATGGCGGCGGTGATGGCCGACAAGGCAGTGGCCGGGCCCAAATCCCGGAGGACCCTCCTCAGAAAAATCTAACGGCCTCAACAATGACAACTCGCTGCGAGTGGCCCGACTGGATTTGTTATCATGCCCGCCACTCGCGAGGCACTATGGGAAGTCAGTGAACATCCGGTCGGGACTTAGGGGGCGGGACGGGGCTGATCTGGCGCCGGCGCCGGAGGGAGTCCCCCCGGTGGGCGTGGCCAAGGGAAGGAGGAGGAGCGTCGGGGCAGTGAAAAGAAACTGCGGACCTCTAGCCTGCGGAGGGCCGGGGCCTCGAGGGGGCGCTGCTGAGCCGCCGCTGCCCCGGGCCGCCCCCCGCAGTTGGTTGCAATGCGGGGCCTGGGAGTTGGCGGAGGGACAGCGGTGGCCTCGCCCCTAACAAGCAACAGCAAGCGTCGGACAGTGACGGCCTAGGGGCTGGCTGTACGTAACAGACAGTCTTACAGCGAGGGTACCCGACAGCTGTGCAACGCGTTGCTCTGGCTGCTGTGCCCCTCGGTTCAAGCCCAGAAACGGTTCCAGGAGACTAGGGAATCAGTAAACCTATAAATGCAGATTCCCGAGACTTGCTGCAAAGTTAAGTCAGTCTGTCTTTGTGGGGGCTCTAGAATCTGCGTTTTAAGCGAATTCCGCTAAGTCTAACAAGTTCTAATGCCAGTGGTCTTGGGACTACATTTAATGCAAACTGGATTTCGGCTTCCATCTGCTGCACAGTCTTGACTTCTAGCCCTGCTTAATTTGAGCGGAGGAGACTTTTTCACAGATGTCATTTCTAGTTTCAGCATTAACATTAATGCATCAACGTCTTGTCCTGGGAAAATCGTATTCCCTTGCCAAGATTTATTTTCTGCCTCTGCAAATGAAGATGGGCTCTAGGTGAGTTTTCCCAACGAAAGCCCCGAGAACGTGTGACAATTACACCTTGAGATAGTGATTGATGTACAATTTTTGGTTTGTGTTGTACAAATACCATTTCCTGTATACGAAATGACCTGAGAAAGATAAGGAAAATCTAGATATCTAAGAGCCCTTCCACCATTTAAATGCCGTTATTTAAAAGATAAAACACTTCTTGAGACAGCTTGTGTTCTATTGAATAGTTGTTGTGTAAAAAAAAAAAAAAAAAATTCTTACGGTAATATTGAGTGGAGTATTGCCTTCCTGTTGCTTCAAAACATTGGCACTTTGGAGCTACAGAAGACTAAGCCCACTTCTTCTTTTAAGTGGTAAACAATTATCACCACTTCCCTTTTCATAAACTCTCAGGGTTGAAAGGGATCTTCCAGGTCATCTATTCAAACCTCCCCTTCTGTCATAGAAGCAACAAGTTTTGTTTTGATTTTGGTCCGTTTTTTGTTGTTGTTGTTTTCTTCTTCTGAGTATATAGTATGTATAAGGCCCCAAACAGTCAAAAGACACAAAACTTCCCCAAAAAGTTTAGTTGCAAAGGCAAAGAAGTAGACAGCACAGTGTTCTAAGAAGAAAGTGAGATAGAATTCCTTATACTTACATTCAAAATGATTGCTAAAATGATATTTCCTTTCTATTTTTCTAGAATGTTTTCATTCTATCAGCTGTTTGATATAAAGTTAAACTTCTCTTGGATAACTAAAAAATATTTTTGTTTTCAAGTGTCATTTTGAAAAATTTGCTGCAAAGTTCTTATAAAGCAAATTGATCACCTTTGTTTTCATCAGACACCAATCATTACAATGCAGTGATAATTTTAAGTGTGATATTTACAAAGAACCATAACTGTACCTACTTAAACTGCCCTCCAACAAAAGGACACACGGTTTTGTTTACATTTGCTTTATAAAACAAAGACTTAGCAGCCCTTTTACAGAGTTCTATCCTTTACTTTGTTCTTTGTGCATAGTAGTGCACACCTGTAATCCCAGTGGTCCAGAGCCTGAGGCAGTTAGATTGCAACTGTCAGTTATATCCATTGGTCTCCCATATTTTATATTGAATCCAGACCTTGCCTTTCAGTTTCATATCGATATGTCCACTGTCTTCTGGACATCTTCACCATTGTTTCTGATAGGTACCCATTTCAACATTCCCTGAACAAAATTCACTCTTCCTGTCTTGAACTCTTTCTCTTAGTAAAAGGTGCCAGTTTCCTATTCAATCATCCAAGTCAATAACTTGATAAAACATTTTAAAATCTCCCCACTGACACTCTTCTCCCATTAATCGAGTATGAGTATTGCTCCATCTACCTTATTTATCCTTTTAGTCACCAAGGGTGACTTAAAACTATCAACTAGAAGTCACTGAATCTAAAGTCGAGAAGAAATGAGAATAATTAGGTCTTCAAGCCAATACAGTTGCCTCCTGTCATTGGTTCATACTCTTTCTGCCATCTTTTCTCAAACTTCGACAGTAATCTTCCAACCTTCGGTTTTACATGCCTCCAGACCATATACCACAGTTATAGGGGCAATCATTGTAAAAGGTAAACACATTCGTGTATTCATTTCATATGTATTGAGCACCAACTAGATGTCAGGCAGGCTATGATCCTATTTCTGATCTTGAAACCTTCAATGGCACCTGACTGCCGACAGAATCAAGTCCAATTCTCATATGCAGCATACAGGTCCTCTATGAACTAGCCTTTCTGTTTCCTCCATAGCTTTATCCCCACTTTGCCTTTTCTTGAAATAATTTATGATTTAAACACTTATTTCTTCTATTTAGTAGACACATCAAACCATTTCTTTTAGCTCTGAGTTTACCATTGCTTTTTGTGACATGCCAGAGTAATGGAAATCACTCAATCAAAATACAAGCTTAAAAGTAAGACAGGTCTAGGTTCAAATCCTGCTCTTATACTTACTAGATGTATAACTTTGACAATAACAATCTCTCACCCAGAGATCCCCCCTCTATTAAATGGGAATAATAATGTTTGACTCTTAAGATTGTTGTGAAGATTAAATTATATACTGGGCAAAAATTTCTTAACAGAGTCCCTAGGATGTAGCAATGGCTCAACAAATAAAGAATGGCTACTTTTATCCTCATAGTTTCAGAACAATTAAAATTACCCTCAAATTTATAGATATTAATTATCTTCCAACAAAAGTCAAATCTGTGTCATTGCTAAAATGGAACCCAGGGCCTTGTGTGCACTGGAGAAGCACTGTGCTCCTGAGCTATATCCTCAGCTCCTCTTCTAATATATCTTGTAACTTTTCTTAAATTAGTAATTTATATCACAAACACTGTGGTAGATGAGAAATTGAAATAACACACCCTCAAGTTGGAATCATACTTTAATATTTTCAGAACATCTTTATATAATTTTGATTGTATGATTTATAAATCAGTGAAAAAGACAAAGTTATCTGATCATTGTTCCCAAGTACCAGATGAGAAAAACAAAGTTCAGAAGGCCCAAGGGATATAGTTCTAACAATGAGTTGTGTAGGTGAAAAACTGGTCTTCCAATTCATTGTCCTGTGCATTTCAATTATATCAGATCATTCTTCAGACTCAGTCAACAAGCCATACCACTCCAGCCCCAAGTAATCCTCAGATCTTCTAGAGTTGTGAGCTCATATCACTTATTGTGACTTAACTATATACCACTCTTGTTTCTAATCACTTCTATATTTGCATTTTTCTCCCTCAGTAAATGGCAAGCTATTTGATGGCATATATATGATGGCCTCTAGCACATAACACTAGTAAGCATGATATATGGATGGACAGACAGATGGCAAGATTACAATCTTGATAGGTAGGCAGGTAGGTAGGTAAATAGAATCTATGAAAAAAATGAGCATCTGCATACATTATTTTTGTACAAATTTGGCCCCACAGAAAATAATAACTTCCTGTTAGAAATATCATTTGCCAAAAGAAGGGACAGTTATATGAAGATACGGGAACCATGTACAATTTTGGAATATACATATGAAAGTAATGATCTTTGTTGATACTTGTACTTTGGTAAAGCAGAAGGCAGAACCAATAATAGAAGCAGTGACTAGAGGCCTGGATAATTCCCCGGTAAATAATGGACTTAGATATGTGAATATACCTAAAATGAAGGGAAAATATTCTTAAAGAGAAAGCAGTATTGCTTTTAAATTATAAGGGATTTTTAACTTAGCTCCAATAGAAGCAATCCCCTACAGGTCAAGCACAGAAAACAGATGTGATTTTGAACTTAAAAGCAAAATATATTTCTGGAAGTAAGATAACACCAGAAACACTGCATTCATAGATAATTTATTCATCAACAACAATATAGCACCTTGATAGAAACTGGAAGTGGCACACAACAATAACATATTACTATTCCAAAGAAGTCACTCCAGCCAGGGAACAAAGTATAGACACAAATTACAGAAGTATAACAATCCTTTACAGAGCTGGGGATGTGCTCAGTGGTAAAGTACTTGCCTAGTATGTGTGAATTCTTGGGTTCAATCCCTGGCACCATAATAAATAAATAAATAAATAACAATCCATTACAACAATATGAGAAAAAATTTACAATTTGCTTACATATCTCTTAGATTACCTTTTCTGTAAATCAAGAGTTTAATAAATTATATGTATAACAACTACATGTATAATTTTTTTCTTTCTAAACATTTTCATTTATTTAGGGTCTATTTTCACATCATTGGAGTTTGCCTTTAAAATTATTATAGAAAAGGAAAGAAGGGAGAGAGAGAAATCAGAAGAAAAATTTGCATAGTAATAGTTTGCAGCTATTCAAGTTATTTTATGAATTATTTCTCAATTAAAACAAGTCTGCATATCAGAATTATTTTTAGCTATTGCTGTAGCAGCATTATGAAGAATAAATATAGCTTTTCTATTTTAAAGCTGATTGTATGAGTCAGCAGGAGGTAAGACAAGCAAAAAGGACAGCTATAATTTTATGCAAATTCGTAAAACCTTAATTCATATTACCAGATATTCCTGAAAGTTGACTTAAAGATTGGAAGAAATCCATGGTTATGTTGACAGAATAATGCTACTAATAAGACAATATAAATTGTGTCTACTTTCATATTGCTGAAGCACCTAGTTCATACACACAATAATTATAATTCGTTGCTAAACTATGTCCTAAGCATTCTACATACATTATTTCTAAACCTTTCATAAATCCTACAAGGTGGTATTATTTCTATTTTGTGGCTATAAAAACTGGCATTTACATATTACGTATATATTTATGTATATATGAGAAGAATATCTTCT